TGTCGCAGGGCACTAGTTTCATAGTTTCATAGTTTCATAGTTTCAGGGTCGGAAGGGACCTAATAGATCTTCTAGCCCGCCCCCCCGCCAGGGCGGGAGAACAACCCAAAAACACAAACAAAACCACTCACCCTAAAAACAAAAACGGGACTCAAATGAGTCCAGCCAGGTAAGTATCCAGCCTCTTCTTAAAGATCCCCAGGGTAGGGGCCAGCACCACCTCCCTTGGAAGTTGGTTCCAGCTCCTAGCCGCCCTGACTGTGAAGTAGTTTTTTCGGATGTCCAATCTGTACCTCCTCTCCATCAACTTGTGCCCATTATTCCTTGTTATGCCAGCAGGGGCTAGGGGAAACAGCGTCTCCCCCAAACCCTTCTGGTTCCCCCTAGTGAGTTTATAGACGGTCACCAGGTCCCCCCTCAGCCTTCTCTTGTGGAGGCTGAATAGGTTCAAGTCCCGCAGTCTCTCACTGTAGGGTCTGCCCTGTTGTCCCCGGATCATGCGGGTGGCCCTCCTCTGGACCCTCTCCATGTTGTCCACATCCCTCCTGAAATGGGGCGCACAGAACTGGACACAATACTCCAGCTGCGGCCTGACCAGCGTCGCATAGAGGGGGAGGATCACCTCCCTGGCTCTACTCGAGATGCACCTGTGGATGCACGACAAGGTCCGGTTAGCCCTGCCAACCATGACCTCGCATTGTCGGCCCATGTTCATCTTGGAGTCAATAATGACACCAAGATCCCTTTCCGCCTCCGTGCTCTCAAGTAGGGAGTTCCCCATCGTATAAGTGTGCTGCTGGTTCCTACTACCCAAGTGCAGCACCCTGCACTTGTCCGTATTGAAACGCATCCTGTTCCTGTCTGCCCACCCCTGTAACCTATCCAGATCCTTCTGCAATCTCTCTCTCCCTGCTAGCGTGCTCACCTCCCCCCAAATTTTGGTGTCATCAGCGAATTTAAACAGGTTGCTCTCCACCCCAACATCAAGATCGCTGATGAAGACATTGAACAGCGCAGGGCCCAGGACCGAGCCCTGAGGGACTCCACTACCCACCTCCCCCCAAGTCGAATATGATCCATCCACCACCACCCTCTGAGTGCGACCCTTCAGCCAATCTGCAATCCATCTGACCGTGTAGGCATCTATGCCACAGTCGCCTAGTTTACTAATTAGGATGGGGTGAGAGACGGTGTCAAAGGCCTTGCTGAAGTCCAGAAAGACTACATCCACCGCGACACCTGCATCCATGGCCTTTGTGACCTGATCATAAAAGGCAATCAGGTTGGTCTGACATGATCTCCCCCTAATAAATCCATGCTGATTGCCCCTGAGCATCATCTCGGATGCCGGCCCATCACAAATGTGCTCCTTGATGATCTTCTCAAAGAGCTTCCCCAGGATTGAGGTAAGACTGACGGGCCTATAATTGCCCGGGTCCTCCCTTTTCCCTTTTTTGAAGATGGGGACCACATTAGCTACCTTCCAATCGTCTGGCACCTGGCCCAAGCACCACGATCGCTCGTAGAGCCGTGCCAGGGGCCCTGCAATAACCCCAGCCAGCTCCCTCAGCACCCTGGGGTGGAGAGCATCCGGACCCGCTGACTTGAACGCGTCCAGCCCCTCCAGAAGCTCTCTAACCCGGTCCTCCCCAACCTGAGGTCTGAAGGTGATCCCCTCGCGTCCGGCTTCTATCACAGCAGGGAAGTCCCGGTCCCTGCACAAGAAAACGGAGGTGAAGAATTGGTTAAAGAGGTGCGCTTTATCCTCTGACGCAACCACCAGATTGCCCCGCATATCCTGCAGGGGCCCCACATTACCCGGCGCCTTCTTCATCCTCCCAATAAGGGAGGACTAGGATGTCCTGCTCCTTTAAAGAGCTGACACTGCTAGGAAGAGAGCCCTAGCAGTGAGTGGGGAGCCCCAGCTGCTGGCTACCAGGACAGCCAGAGTGAGCTAGTGGCCCACACCTGCCGCGGTCAGCTGCGCGGAAGGGGCAGGGCCAGGCTCATATATAAACCCCAGGGCTGAGGCTAAGAGGGCAGTTCCCTGCCAGCCGCCAAGGGGGAAGGAGTTCTCCTGGAGCAAGCAAAGGGGAGAGGCCTGACTACAGGTACAGCCTCTGATACTGGTGAGGGATGGAGTACCCCGGCGTGGCTTGAATGATGTTATAGCCGGGCAGCTTGAATGTATGTTACAGCCCAGAGGCTTGTGTTTTGTTTGCTGTTGTATAAGACCAGTGGTTTGGGTGAGGCTATTAAGGGAAGGAGGAGGCCTCATAGGGGACTCACGGCAGCGTGGGGACTCTGGCGCCAGAGAGCATGCAGCATTTGGGGTGCACAAACCCTGGTGCCAGTGAGGGCGCAGCACTTTGCAGGGCTGTGGAGAGCACAGGGAGGACAGGGGAGCCAAATTACAACAAGGCCCAGACCGGACAACGTCGGTACCATCTGCAAGGCTTGGGGCATGGTCAAGGGGAGGTTGGAGTCATGCATAGCTCATAAGGCTAGCGTGCCCCAAAACACCCATCGTGACATCTATTTTGAACTGGGATGCACCAGGGGTCCAGAGAACCAATCAAAACCATGTCCGAGAGGACTTAAAGGCACCCTCCCTATTAATCCTTCCCTCAAAGATGTGGCAGGAGAGAACAGTGGGTGCCCATTGGGCTAACTTGGCACGGTAAAGGGGCCTTGGGGAGATCACGGCCATCCTTAAGGACCCCATCCTGTGACAGCTGGTTCCAGATGCTAGCTGCCCTGACTGTGAAGTAGCGCTTCCTGATACCTAGCCTGAACCTACTCTCAATCAACTTGTGGTTGTTATCCCTGGTTACTCTGGGAGGCGCTCGGGGAAACAGGGACTCTCCCATTCCCTGCTGGTCCCCCCACCCCGGTATAGACAGCCACCAGGTCCCCTCTCAGCCTTCTCTTGTGGAGGCTGAACAGGTTCAGGTCCTGTACCCTCCCCTCGTAAGGCCTGCCTTGCTGCTCCTTGACCATGTGAGTGGCTCTCCTGGACCCTCTCGACGCAGTCCTCATCCCTCCTGAAGTGTGGCACCAAGAACTGGATGCAGTACTGCAACTGCGGCCTGACCAGTGCCGCACAGAGGGGGAGGATCACCTCCTTGCACCTGCTCATGATGTATCTGTGGATGCATGACACAGTGTGGTTAGCCTTACTGACCGCTTCCCCACACTGGTGGCTCATGTTCGTAGTTGGAGGGGTTGTCGTCCTCGTCCTGTCCTGCCGGCTCCGCAACCAAGGTGCCCCCTGTCCCCGGGGCTCTACCTCCCCCTGAGAGGGGTGGCAGGGAGGGGAATGAGGAATGGAGCCAAGATGCCTGGGCGCCATCGCCAGCTCTGGGAGGAGATGGAGGGTCTGGGGTGGAGGGTAAAGCAGGGCTGGGAGCCAGGACACCTGGGTTCTCTCCCAGCTCTGGAAGGAGAGTGAAGTTTTGGGGGGGTTAGAGCAGGGAGGTGCTGGGAGTCAGTTCTTTCCCGAGAGGGGATTGGGGTCTGGTGGGTTGGACCCAAGGGCTCGGGAAGCCCGGACGCCTGGAGTCTCTCCCAGCTCTGGGAGGGGAGCGGGGGGTCCTCACCCCTGAATCTCTTTTGCCTCTTTTCCCTTAGATGAAGCTCAAAGCAGCTGGTAAGAACTGACCCAACCTGCTGTGAGAAGACCCAGATCCCCTCCACCCATCCTGACTCCCCACCTTTAGGACCTCTGGGCCAGCAGCGGGGAGTTCAGACTAGACACTTTTGTTGCCTGCTGTGGGAACCCAGCGATTGCTGAGGAGATGGTGGCTGTCCCTACCTCCTCAATGGGGACTGGGAGAAACCCCCCATCCCCTCCTGCCTGGCTGGGCTCACCTCCAGCCCCAGGACATCCGTGCCTTGTCTTGTCCCCGTGACAATAAAGGTCTATTTTCTGGAGCTCTGTGGGTCTTCTTCACCTGGGTGCTCCCCTCCCCCCCCAGACTCAGCCGCCCACCTTGGGGGATGTCTGGGCTTTGTGCCTGTTCTCTTCTCTCCCCCCACAGACTTAGCCGCCCACCTAGGGGGAAGTGCAGTCTGTGGTTACCAGCTCCCCTGGGTGTGGGGCACTGCTACACGGCAAACTAGGCAAAGGCCTGAACAACTCATGACTCAGAGGGGAGCAATAGCCCTGGTGCAGGTGGCCCTGGGAGGGGACAGGCTGCTATCCCAGCCCCTCCTTGCCACGACACCATCCCCCCATCACACCCAAGGGGAAGTGTGGGTGCTGCTTTCAGCAAGCTGGTTTCACCTCCACCCCTCCCCGGCCCCCCCGACATTGGGGGCCAGGAATGGGGAAGCTGCAGGGACCGTGATTTCAGCCTAGGGAAGTAAAGTGAAATCTAGAGTGGGGGAGGGTGGGAGAGATGGGGCCAAGGCCAGAGACACCTCCCCAGAGACCTGCCAGCCCACCTCCATCACTGGCCTGTGTCCCAGTTAGGGTCAGGAAGACACTGCAAGGATATGGGGGGAGGGGGGGAATTTTGTAAGTAAATTGCTTAATGATCCACTTTGCCTAATTGCAAAGGAGCTTGTCAAACCTGGAGTGGGGACGGGGAAGGGAGAGGGTAGAGCCTCCCTTGCTCTCCAGGAGTCCCAGGTCCCCACCATGACTTTGCCACTGACTCCCCCCCATGACCCGGTCAAATCCCTTAACAGACTGTCACAGGTGGGGTGGGGGCCTTCCTACCTGCCCTGGGCAGGGGGGGCTGCTGGGAAAATACCCACCCCAGAGGCAGGCCAGGCCCCCTGAGGACCCAGCTCTGGTGTCCTGGCAAGACCCCCAAGACCTCCTGCTATGTCCTAACATCGGGCCACCACATGCCCTGAGTCCATTTCCCTGTTGAGGCCTGGGCTTAGCCGGCTTTACCTGGTGACTGATGATGCCCTGGGCTGCACCTGCTGTCATTGGGTGCTGGGCTGGTGAGGAGTAAAGTCTGGGGTGGGGCCACTGGGAGACACCAGGACAGGCAGACAGACAGACACAGGGACAGGGGCAGGGATCCCACTGAGGAGGTTGCTGCAGAGGAGGGGATCTCGGGGGGATTGCACCCTGAAGAGCCTGGGATCTCTCCCCCCAAGCCAGGATGCAGGTGCTGTGGCTACTGCTGGCAGGGCTGAGCTGCCACGGAGTAGGTGAGAGGCAAAAGCTATACAGCAGAGGTGGGGAGGAGGGGGCACGGGGGCCCCCCCGCGGGCAATGCCAGCCACAGGAGATGCTGTCAGGGTGGGGCAGGAGGTGAGCAGCCCCCAGGAGGAGCAGGGGGCCACGTGTGGGTGGGGTGTGTCAGATGTGGAGGGGGTTTGACCTCCTGTATAACCCAGCGATGACTGTGTCTGTGTGTGGATGGGGTCTGAGCCCAGGTATAACCCTGGGCGTGGGCCTGTCTGTGTGTGGATGAGGTGTAACTCAAGAGATAACCCAGGTGGTGGGGGGCTGTGTCTGTGTGTGGGCAGTGTGTAACCCCATCTATAACCCCAGGGGGCTGTGTCTGCATGCAGCGGGGGTTTAACCTCAGCTACAACCCCAGCTGGCTCGGGCTGCATGTAGGCAGGCATAACACCCTGTATAACCCTGCAAGAGTCATGTCTGTGTGTGGGCAGTGTGTAGCCCCACTGTAACAGGGAACCCTAGCCCTGTTACCAGGAAGCAGAGCAGCCCCTTTAAATGCTGAAGCTTGCGGGCGCAGCCAGCTGGTCAAGCGGGGCTTAAGGACCGAGCCCTGCCGGCTGGTCAGGTGACAGGAGGGGGACGGACAGAGCCATATAAACCTCAAGCAGGGAAGGGCAGGGAGGCAGCAGAGAGGGTGACTCCCAGTGACTATGGAGCAGCTGCGGCAGCCTCCTTGGAGGAATAGGCCAGGTTGTGAGACAGAAGCACAATCACATGTAAGCGGCACTCTGCTGCTCTTGTTTTTTTTATTTTAATTATATGTTCATAGGGGCCTATGATTTATGGTTAATGTTAAAAAAAAAAGACCTGTGATTTGCAGCTGAGACTGTAGGGAGGGAGGCAGCCCCATTAGCGCCGAGGAGCGCCGGGGCAGAGGGTTCAAGGAGCCCTGCTGCACTAGGGGTGCAGCACTACAGGCCATGAGCCCGTTGTCCCTTGGAGGGGAGATAGGAGTCTTGAAGCCAGGTCTGGTGGATGGACTTAGGTGAAAGGCCCTAACTACAGAAAGAGGGGTGAAGCCAGAGGGGCTGAGGCCCCAACAGCCTGGTGGCACAGGGGCGCAGTGTTGAAGGGCTAGTAGGCCTGGTGTATGGACCGAAGGGCCTTGAGCCTGACCGAGTTAGAGAGCTAGAGCCTCAGAGCCAAGCCCTGCTCAGGGGGGTTTGACTGACGGGCCTAGCTAGAGAGAGAGAGCGGGTAAACCCACAGTGGCTGAGACCCCAACATAAAGAGAAATTTATAAAACATAGACTCATAGATTGTAGAGTCGGAAGGGACCACAATGGATCATCGTGTCCAACCCCCTGCCCTGGCAGGAAAGAGGACCGAGGTCAGATGACCCCAGCCAGGTGACTATCTAGCCTCCTCTTGAAGACCCCCAAGCTAGGTGACAGCACTACCTCTCTTGGGAGCCCATTTCAGATCCTGGCCACCCTTACTGTGAAACATTTCTTCCTAATATCTAACCTAAATCCACTCTCAACTAGTTTACACCCATTATTCCTAGTCACTCCCTGGGGCGCCCTAGTAAACAGCGCGTCACCTATTCCCCGTTGACGTCCCCTAATAAATTTATAGGTGGCCACAAGATCTCCCCTCAGCCATCCCTTGTGAAGGCTGAAGGGATTCAGCTCTCTCAACCTCCCCCCCGTAGGGTCTTCCCCAAAGGCCACTAATCATGCGAGTGGCCCTCCTCTGGACCCTCTCCAGATTTTCCGCATCCCTCTTGAATTGCGGTGCCCAAAACTGGACACAGTACTCCAACTGCAGCCTGACCAGTGCTGCATAGAGGGGGAGCATCACCTCCTTTGATCTATTAGTCATGCACCTGCTAATGCACAACAAGGTGCGATTGGCCTTGTGGATGGCCTCGTTACACTGCCGGCTCATGTTCATCTTGGAGTTAATTATGACTCCAAGATCCCTCTCTGCCTCCGAGCTGCTGAGAAGGACACTCCCTATCAGCCTGAATCTGCTCCCTGCCCTCTGGTGTACTAACTTTGCCCCATAACTTGGTATCATCAGTGAACTTGGAGAGGGTGCTCTCCACACCCTTGTCCAAATCACTGATGAAGATATTAAATAATATTGGTCTGAGGACCGAACCCTGCAGGACCCCACTGCCCACCTCCCTCCGGGCTGAGAAGGAACCATCCACCACCACTCTGGGTGCGGTCCCTAAACCAGTTGGCCACCCACCTGACCGTGTAGGCATCCACTCCGCAGTCTGCTAGCTTCCCAATGAGGATAGGGTGCGAAACTGTGTCAAAGGCCTTCCTAAAGTCCAGGAAGATGACATCAGCCTCAGCTCCCGTGTCCAGGCAGTGTGTGACCTGGTCATAGAAGGCTACAAGGTTTGTCAGGCAGGATCTACCTGTGACAAACCCGTGCTGGTTTCCCCTCAGCATCGTTTCCCCTGCTGGGCCTGCACAAATGTGTTCTTTGATTATTTTCTCTAGCATTTTAACATCTGTGAGGCACAGGGTATGTCAAGGCGAGGTAGGAGTGTGCATTTTGGCCCTTAATGCAACAGCTCATTATCCTATGGGTGGTGAGCCTGGAGCCTGTCTGGGAGCCTGTGGGTCAGCCTCCCTCTTTTTTTTAGAACCAAGTAACATCAAGTCATGGCAGACAAGTAAAAGAGGAAGGGAAGCTGATCCCCAGGGAAGAAAAATTCAGCAAGACTTGACAGGGGCACACTCACTGGCCTATTTAAAGAAAGAAAAGAAAAGAAAAGTGCAGCCAAAGACGGCACCCTGTCACATTGGTGCACTGGCCAGGAAACTTCATATGGCAGTATGTGTCATAAGACGGTGGTTCGCTTGTGTGAAAGAAAGAGCCCTTGGGTCTAAAAAGAAGCCAGAGAAGCAGGAGCAGGTGCTAACCCCAGACCTTGAACCTCAGCAACAAATCTTGGGCTGGCTACACCAAATAAATACAAGGCCTACAAGACCAAGCTGCAAGACAACAGGCACTGTTAGCCAAGATGGTGGGAAACATACACCCGCGAGCAACGACCCAGGTGGGGATGTGTGGCTATGGGGCCAGGATTGATTTTGTGTCAGGACATGAGCAGCCTGCATTGATGGTGGACGTGACGATAGAGAGACAAAGAGTATGTGCTATGCTGGACTCAGGCTCATCACAGACCATGGTGCGGAGAAATGTGTTACTGGAAAGAGAGAGGGAAGGAGCAGACCATATAATCACGTGATGCTGGTGCGGGGAACCCATTGAATTGGACAGAGTGTGGACCATTCTGCAAATGGGCAATAAGACCCAGTCGATGCTAGTTGCACCGCGTAGTATTACCCTACCCCCTACCCGGTAATACTGGGATGTGACTGGCCAGAGTTGTTGACAGAGATAGCCAGTGTGAGACCGAAAGAGGAAGCCTTGAAAGAGGAGACCAAGGTGAGAGAAAGTTGCCGTTGGAGGCCCCGGGAGGCAAGAACACAAAGATGCAAGGTGAGAGAGCACAAGGCTGGATGGGAAGATGATCCTATGACTGAGGGGTTCACAGGTGAAGCCGAACAACCTCCACCAGAGGAAGAGGCTGAACAGGAGGTGGATGTCGCACATTTGTGGGACAATGAACATTTCCAGTTGGAGCAGAGCCGGGAGGCAGATTTTCGGTATGCTTTGTAGGAACACCTAGCTCAACGTAATGGTGAGGGATTACAACTAGAACTGATGAAGACGACCCGTGGTTCGAAATGATCTCCTATACCAAAGTGAGCAAGGAAAGTCGGCAGGAGAGGAGGTCATACAGTTGCTGGTACCTTGGTGATACTGAAGGGCTCTGTTGAAGGTGGCTCATGAGCTCCCTATGGGCAGACATTTGGGCAGCGACAAAACAGAAGCCCGCATTTGGGCAAGATTTTTTTGGCCAGGACTCCTACAGCAAGTGATGAGGTATTGTGCTTCGTGTCCTGTGTGCCAAAAAATAAACCCAAGACATCCTCCAAAGGCTCCCTTCATTCCATTGCCCTTGGTGGAGGTTCCCTTTGAGCATGTGGCTGTGGACATTGTGGGGCCACTGCCCAGAAGCAGCACTAGAAACCAGTGTATTTTAGTTTTACTGGATTATGCAATGAGGTACCCAGAGGCTATGCTGATGCAGACAACAACTGCTCCAAAAGTGGCAAATGAGCTATTGAAAATAGTCTCATGCGTGGGACTTCCCAGAGAACTGCTGACAGACCGGGAACACATTTTACATCACGCGTGTTCGAAGGAATGAATAAAGCTTTGGGAATTAAACACCTAAAGATGGCAGTATATCATCCACAAACTGATGGGCTCGTGGAGTGATTTAATTGGACGTTGAAGCAGATGTTAAAGAAATTCATAGTAGAGAGTCCTCACAACTGGGATAAAATGTTACTGCCCTTGTTATTTGCCATAAGGGAGGCACCCCAGGCTTCGACTGGGTTTTCACTCTTTGAACTATTGTATGGGTGGTAACCAAAGGGAATCCTTGCTTTGATTAAAGAGAGTTCGGAAGAACAGCATAGTAAAGACCAGAACTTGATTCAATATGTAATACAACTGCGGGAACACCTTGAAGCAGCTCAGAGAGCGGTTTTTGGAAATCTCGGAGGCCCAGAAATGTCAAGTGATGCATTATAACCGAGGTGCACGGGAAAGGAAGTTTGGCCTGGGGGACCATGTGTTGGTTCTGTTGCCCAACCGTGAGAGTAACTTGCCCGGTGGCAGGGACCCTATGAAATTACACACCATGTGGGGCCCGTAGACTATGAGGTGTACTAGACAGACAAACAAAAACAGAAGCAAGTGTATCATATCAACATGTTGAAGTGGGAAGAGCAAGAGTATGTATCTGGCCCTTCATCCTGAGGAATTAGAATTGGGACCCTCTGTGGTGGAAGGAAAGGGACCGGGTGACGTAGAACTGGCCCCACGACTATCCAAAGAGCAGAGATGACAGGCCGCTGAGCTAGTCAGGGAATATGGAGATGTGTTCCAAGAAACTCCTGGGGAAGCTCAGGGTGTGATATATCGAATAAAAACGCCTCCGGGCCAGGTGATCCGCAAGAGCTGGAGACGGATTCCACAGCAGCTGCAGAGTCAGATAAAAACAGAGATTGAGATGATGCTGGAGAAAGGCATAATATGCAAGTCCCACCATGACTGGCGGAGCCCCATTGTAGCAGTGCCCAAGCCAGACGGGAAAATCCGATTTCCGGAAGGTAAATGCAGTGGCTAAGTTCGATGCCTATCCAATGCCGAGAGTAGATGAACTAGTGGAAAACATCGGGCAAGCCTGCCACATTTCCACTTTGGACCTAATGAAAGGTTATTGTCAGGTCCCAGTAGCACCTGAAGATCAAGAAAAGACTGTGTTTGCCACCCCTTGGGGTCTATTCCAATTTCAAAGTAGAGGCGTAACTGAAGTGCCAGGCTCCTCATATGAAAGAACAGGAGCGGGCTTTTCTGGGACTAGTTAGTTATTATAAAAAGTTTGTACCTCATTTTGCAGACTTAGTAGTACCTTTGATGGAGATGATAAAGGCTAGAGCCCCAACCAAGGTGAGGTGGACACCAGAAGCGGAAAAGGTATTTCCAGTGGTGAAGGACACGCTATGTTTGCAGCCCCTACTATATACACTGGATTTTAATAAACTCTTCCTGGTGCAGACAAATGAGTCAAATATGGCTATTGGAGCAGTGTTGGTCCAGAAAGGGGGAGAAGAAGAGCATTCCATAGCGTACATAAGTAGGAAATTACACCCACCAGAAAGGAATTACTCTATGATAGAAAAAGAGTGTTTGGCGATTAAGTGGGCAGTTGAAGCACTCCGATATTATCTGTTAAGGCAAAAGTTCACGCTGATCACAGATCACGTGCCTCTACGCTGGCTGCAGAGCATGAAGATGGATAATGCGAGGCTGATGAGATGGGGTCTTAGCCTTCAACTGTATTGTTTTGAGGTGGAGCATCGCCCAGGAACTGAGAATATAAGTGGGTTATGTCTGACGGGCCTAGCTAGAGAGAGAGGGTAAGCCCACAGCAGCTGAGACTCTACCCTAAAGAGAAATTTATAAAACATCTGCGAGGCACAGGGCATGTCAAGGGAAGGTAGGAGCATGCATGTTGGCCCTTAAGGCAACAGCTCATTACCCTATGGGTGGTGAGCCTGGAGCCTGTCTGGGAGCCTGTGGGTCAGCCTCCCTCTTTTTTTTAGAACCAAGTAACATCAAGTCATGGCAGACAAGGAAAAGGTGGGGGGGGAAGCTGATCCCCAGAGAAGGAAAATTCAGCAAGGCTTGATGGGGGCACACTCATGAGCCTATTCAGAGAAAAAAAAGGAAAAGAAAAATGCAGCCAAAGACAGCACCTTGTCACACACATCCATAACCCCAGGGGGCTGTGTCCATTTATGGAATGGGGTAGCTCCTTGTATAACCCTGCAGAGCTATATCTGTGTGTGGATGGGGTAAATCCCAGCTATAACCCTAGGGAGAGACTGTCTGTGTGTAGATGGGAGGGAAACCCTCAATTATAACCTGGGGGGTAGGCTGTGTCCGTGTGTTGAGGGCATCTAACTTCAGCTATAACCCCAGGGGAGTGATGTGCCTGTGGATGGGTTTTAAACCCAGCTATAACCCCAGGGGGACTGCACCTGTGTGTGGAGGGACTGTAACTCCTTGTATAACCCTCCATGACCCGTGCCTGTGTGTGGAGGGGGTTTAATCCCAGTGACAAGTCCAGGGGGCACCACATCGGTGTGTGGATGGGGGGGTAACCCCACCTATAACCCCAAGGAGCTTGTGTCTGTGTGTGGATAGAGTTTAACCCTAGCAATAACCCCATGGTGGGCTGTGTCCATGTGTATATGTCTGGAGGGGATGACCCCAGCTATAACCATATGGAACCAATGTCTGTGTGTGGATAGGGTTTAACCCCAACAATAACCCCAGGGTGGGCTGCGTCCATGTGTGGACAGGGGGGTAGCCCCAGCTTTAACCCTGGAGGAGCTGTGTCTGGATGGACACTGCATCTGCATGTTGAGGGAGTGTAACTCCCTGTGTAACCCTTCAGGGCTCAAGTCTATGTGTGGAGGTGTTTTAACACAGCTATAACCCCAGGGGGCCCATGTCTGTGTGTTGATATGAAGTAATGCCAGGTATAACCTCAGGGGGTCCACATCTGCGTGTGGGGCAGGGTAACCCCAGCTATAATCCTGAGGGAGCTGTATCGGTGTGTAAATGGGGCTCAACCCCAGCAACAACCCTAAGGAAGACTGTGTCTGTGCGTGTACACCTGGCACAGCCCCATTCACATGCGCCCCATGCCATCCCTGCAGGTGGCTTCATGATGCATCTAGTGACCGAGTGCCCAGTGGCTGGCAACGGGGCAGTGCTGGCCGTGGATGTCTACCTGGCCTTCAACAAGAACCGGCTGGTGTGCTACGACCCCAACAGCCGCCTCTTCTATGGCTGTGACCCTGGACTGCTGCAAAATGCGTCTAACCACATTGCCAGCGCCCTCAATATGAACAGGACATTCATCCACCTGGCCGCCAGCAAGCAACAGGGCTGCCAGGACCAGATCCAGGGGCTGTGGGCCCAGACAGCACTCCGGAGACGTGCGTGGGACCACGGGGCGGCAGGGACAAGGAGGCGGGATGCTGGGGTAGAGGGGTCCATGCGGGGACAAAGAGACAGGACATCAGGGTGGAAGGGCCCGTGGATGGGTCTGGGGGGATGAGAAGACCAGATGCTGGGACAGAGGGGCCCCTGGGTGGGTCTGGGGGATGAGGAGACCTGATGCTGGGGTAAAGGGGCCTGTGGATGGGTGTGGGGAGACAAAGAGACCAGACGCCGGGGTAGGGGGGCCCATGGGTGCATCTGGGAGACAAGGAGACCAGATGCTGGGGTAGAGGGGACCATGGGTGGATCTGGGGGAAGAGAACAGCAGACAAAGGGGTAAAGGGGCCCATGGGTAGGTCTGGAAGGACAAAGGGACCAGAAGCTAGGGTAGAGGGGCGCATGGGTGGAGTCCAGGGGGATGAGAAGACCAGATGCCAAGGTACAGGGACCTGCGGGTGGATCTGAGGGACAAGGAGACCAGACACTGGGGTAGAGGGACACATGGGTGAAATCGTGAGCGATGAGGCGACATGGTAGAGGGGCCTGTGGGTGGGTGTGGGGGACGAAAAGACCAGGCGCTGGGGTAGAAGGGCCTGTGGATGGATCAGGAGGAAGAGGAGAGCAGACACCAGGGTGGAGGAGCCCGTGGGTGGGCCCAGGGGATGCTGAGGGGCAGCCGCCACCCTCACCCATGCCGCTATGTCCCCCTACCTCAGGCCCACCCCAGGTGCGTGTGGCAGCGCTGCCCATGCAGAGCCGGCTGGCACCCACGCGGCTGGCCTGCTTCGTCTGGGACTTCTACCCGGCGAGTGTGCAGGTGTCGTGGCTGCACAACGGGCACCCGCTGGACACCAACGAGACGGGTCCTGTGGCCACCGTGCCCCACGGAGACTGGACCTACCAGACCACCCAGATCCTGCCCGTGCACCTGAAGCCTGGAGACGCCTACACCTGCGAAGTGAAGCACGCTAGCCTGTCTGAGCCCCTGCTGCGCCACTGGAGTAAACCGATACTGTTGGGGGGGAGGGCAGGCAGGGGCAGGGGCAAGGGTATGGGGGGCAGGACCCAGACAGTCAGGGGGAAGTGAGGAGACCTCGATCTAGTAGGGTGGAAGGCACCTGGGAGCGTGGAGGAGGTAGAAGAGGAGGGGGAGGGGTGCTCGGGGGGAAGGAGAGGAAGAAGGGGAACTAGAGGCTTGGGGAATAAGGGGGATAGAAGTGGGAGGGGGACCTGGAGGCATGGGGGAAAGGGGCTTAATGGAGGAAGGGGGCAGAGTTGGGCCCAGAGGCACAAGGCGGAAGGGGGTGGAAGAGTGGGGAAGGGCTCTGAGATGCCTGGGGGCAGGGAGGAGGACCAGGGGGTGCAGCAATCTCAGCTGATTGCCACCCCTTCCTGACAGGCCCTGGGCCATCGGACCAGCTGCTGTGGGGCTCGGCGGCTGCTGGGCTGGTCCTGGGGCTCCTGGTCTTCGCAGCTGGCACCTCGTGCTGGTGGAGGGCCCCTGTCCGCCATGGTGAGCACCGGGGCCCATATCTGAGGGCAATGGCGGGGGGTGCTGGGGGGTTTGGTGGTCTCTGGAGCTGGGGGAAGCTTGGCTGGAGTCTGTGCCCCCTGGGGAAGATGGGAGCAGTACTGTGGCATCCAGGGCGAGGGAAGCTGGGGGGCTGTGAGGGCTGGACCCTGACTAACCTCCTGCCTCCCCTCCTGCAGGCTACACCCCTCTGGCTGGAGACAACTACCCCCGAGGTGAGTGCAACTGTCCAACCATCCATCCATCTGTCCGTCTGTGTCCCCCTCCCCACTTTTACCCCCTCCATGGCTCATCCTCCTTCCATTTCTCCATCCTTCCCTATCCACTCACCTCTCTCTCCATCCATCCCCATGCACTTATCCTTCCTTCCTGCCATCCCTCCTTCCATCCTTCCCCATGCACTTACCCCTCCATTCCTTCTCCTCCTGTCCATCCATCCATCCATCCATCCAACCCTCCTTCCCCTTCCAAGTACACATCCATCCCTCTCCCTGTACAGACACCCCTCCATCCTTCCCTATGCGCTCATACTTCCATCCATCAATTCTTCCTCATGTGCACAGCCTTTCATCCAGCCATTCATCCCCCCTTCTGCCTCTCTCCCCCATATTCATCTCTCCATCCATCCATCCATCCATCCATCCATCCATCCATCCATCCTATGTCCAGGTCTGGGCGCCACACTTCAAAAAAGATGTGGAGACTCTTGAAAGGGTCTAGAGAAGGGCCGCAAAAATAGTTAAGGGCCTGGAGGACAAACCTTATGAAGAAAAATTAAGGGATCTGGGACTATTCAGCTTGGGGAAGAGGAGACTGAGGGGGGAGCTTGGTGGCCATCTATAAGTACGTAGTGAGTGAATATCAGGAGCTGGGCAATAAAAACTGTTCGCTGGTGCACCCCAGGGGAGGACAAGGAGCAATGGCCATAAGCTGTTAAAGGATGGTTTCAGGTTGGATGTAAGGAAAAACTTCTTTACGGTAAGGGTGACCAGGATGTGGAATAGACTTCCCAAGGAGGTGGTGCAGTCCCTACCCTTGGAAGCCTTCAAGAGGAGACTAGACAGACACCTTGCAGGGATCATTTGATCTCAGCAGTATTCCTGCCCAGACCCGGGGGGGGTTGGACTCGATGGTCTTTTGAGGTCCCTTCCAGCCCTTCATGTCTATGATTCTTTCTATGATCCATCCATCCATCCATCCATCCCCCATCACAGACTCCTTCCTCTTGGTCTCTCATCCCCTTCTCACTCTCATTCCCCCTCTAGGCAACATCTAACACTGGGTCGCTAGGCCCCAGGGCTCCCGTGGACTCTTCCCTCAGCTGCAGACCCTGGTGCTGCCCCTGTGCTTGGTGCCTGATCCTGGCAGTACTACATGACCCGAGCCCAGGACGGCGGTGCTACAAGACACCCACCCCAGTGGATGCCCCCAACCCATGTGGGCGGGCATCCCTGCTTCATGCAGCCACCGATCTGTATATCGCCCCAGCCAATGGAGAAGGCTGGACATGGACCCGCTCAGCCGCGCCCCGTCCCTGACTCAGACCTGACCTCCCAGTACAGACCAGCAGTCCCACATAGCAATATAGGGACTCAAATAGAGCCCCTGACCCCCAACCCCTCGCCCCTCTGTTGCATGCCCCCAGGCTAACAGAAGTCCATAAGAACCAAAAAGACACTAGAGCATGCCCCAGAAGTGGGAAGTGGGGGTTTGGGCCCTGCGCACTGCACATGTGGGCCAGGGTGCTGCACGTGTGGCAGGGGGGACAGCAAGATCTCGGCCCCTGCCAGCTGCATGTCAATAAAAGGTGGCTTATTCCCCAGGCTCCACGTCTCTCTGTCTGTGTGCTACACACCAGGGGAGGTGGAAACTGGGCTCTGCACTTCCAGCCTTGGCATTTCAAGGCCCCGTGCTCTCGCCCCATTGCCCCCAGAGCTTGGAAGGGACCCTGGCACCCTGGCTCTCGGTCCCCCGCCCCCCTCCTCTCCCCAACCTCGAGAAAACCCAGGTGCCCGGGCTCCCAGCCTGAACCCAGCAGCTGTGGGTACGCCGGGTCCGGCAGAAGCAGTGGCAGGGCAGGGATTTCCAAGCCCTGAGTCACCGATGTCAGTGGGAAGGCGTGGGGGGGAAGTGAAACCCAGGCCTAGTGGGCTCAGGATGCAGAGGGACAGACATACAGACGGGGCTGGTAGCTCCGGAGCGCTCCTCCAGGCAGGCGGGGGAGAACAGCTCTGCCGGGTTGATGGGTGGCAGCCGTGGGACATCTGCTGGCCACAGAGAGAAACTCCAGCAGCCACAAGGGATGGGACCCAGGAGTCCTGGCTCCTACCCACTTCACTCCGCTCCTCTTCCTGAGCTGCAGAGAGAGCCCGGGTGTCCTGGCCCCCAGCTCCAAGCCCCGCAAACCCAGTCCCCAGCCAGGGGAGAGCAGGACTCAGATGCCCTGACCCCCAAAGCTGCAGGTCCCAAGCACGGAGGACAGGCACCTCCACACAGCCATGAACTAGGCACGGTTGGACTGAAGCCCTCTTGCCTTGGCTTTCCCAGCTTGGGAGAACCAGGGTTGCAGATTTAGCTGCATAAAATCAGGTGAACAGCTGGAAATGCTCCAGTCTGGAGCTGGCTGTGATCTTCTCAGCTCCCAGGCTCCGGAGGTCGAGTCCATCCCATCTCCTCCCCCAAGCCCAGGGCTGTGGTGGAGAGTACAGCCCCATCAAGCCCTGTGCTCCTGTGGTGCTTGCTAGAGACCAGGGTACGGGCATCCTGCTTGCCCCAAGGTCAAGGTCCAGGAAGCCATGCATGGAGAGGAGTCAAGGTCAGGAAGTGAGAAGCCAGAGCCTGAGAGCAGGTCGAGCATGGGCCCTGCAGCAAGAGCTAAAGGCAGGAGCAGGGATCCACCAGAGCCCTTTGCAGAGGGCTGGGCTCCTGCCCTGAGCCCACGGGGCACTCAGACCCAGCTGGATGTGGTCAGTTCCTGCCTGAGGGTTATTGGGCTGTTTGAAAGGCCTGAACGCTAACGTCCCCAACCCACAGGCCCATATCTCCCTGAGTTGTGTCCCCTCAAGGTCATCAGCCCCTACAGCCCTTTCCAGGGAAATCCCCAATGGCTTCTGTCCTCCTCCTTCAGCTCTCCTTCCTTCTCCTTCCTTCCTCTCCTCCCATCTGTTGACTGCTCCAAGTCACATCATTCATGTTTCTCAGCCCTGCAGCCTGTTTTTTAACCACAACTGAATCCATGAATGCAAGGGTGGAAGTTCAATAAGGACAAGTTCAATAGGCTCAATAAGGACAAGTGCAAAGTCCAGCACTTGAGACAGAAGGATTTCATTCACCAGTAGAAGCTGGGGGCTGACTGGCTGGGCAGAAGGTCTGCAAAAAAGGACCTGGGGGTTACAGTGGACAATAAGATGGATATGAGCCAGCAGTGTGCCCTTGTTGCAAGAAGGCCAATGACATACTGCACTGTATTGGGAGGAGTGTTGGCAGCAGATTGAGGGTTGTGCCTTTTCATAGGAGGTGCACTGCCATGCTTAGGGGGTATAAGTGCACCCACGTGCACCCCCTATGCGTCACCAATGGTCTGGAGAAGAGGAGACCAAGGGGGATTGAATAGCAGCCTTCAGCTCCCTGCAGGATGGTTAGAAGATGGAGCTGGACTGTTCTCAGTGGTGGCAGATGACAGAACAAGGAGAGATGCTCTCAAGTTGCACAAGGAAAGTTGAGGTTGGATAGTAGGAAAAGCTTTCTCAGTAGGAGGTTACTAAAGCACTGGAACAGGTTACCCAAAGAGTTTGAGGAATCTCCATCCTTAGCATTTTTTAAGACTTGGGTAGACAAAGCCCTGGCTGGGATGATCTAGTTGGGGACGGTCCTGCTTTGAGCAGAGGGTTGGACTAGATGTGAAGTCCCTTCCAACCCCATTCTCTATGAGTTTATGGTTGTGTGATGCATTAACTCAGCTGAGCTTGAGCTCTCAGGAGGAATCGCTCACAATGAAGCACTGAGGCACTGTACAGATGCTCAAGAAAGCAACATTTTATTTTATGAAAGTGAAGAAAGAGATGTGCATCATACTCTAATGATTCCAGGACAGAGGACACAATGGCTTTGGAGTATGTTTGCCACATTGGTTGTACTTTTATATAGAATACCTGATAAAGTAAATGAATTCACCTGCCAATAAAGCTTTATTTTTGTTGGCTTCAGTCTGAAATTGAATACTGCAGCTCTAGGCCGCTTATTAGCAAAGCTGCTAGTTTCTTTTTCACTGGAGAAAACTAGGTGTTGTGTTATATGGGGTGAGGCACCGTACCATCAGCACCTCCCTGTGCAGAGTCCTAGATCCACCTCTGGTTCAGCATCAGAGCCCACCGCAGACCCCACAGCCCATGCATACCACAGCACAGACCAGCTGAAGTACTGCGTCCAGTTCTGGGCACCGCACTTTAACAAGGACATGGTAAAGCTTGAGAGAATCCAGAGAAGAGCCATCTGTATGATCAGTGTCTTACATGGCAAGACATACAAGGAAAGGCTGAGGGATCTGGGACTCTTCAGCCTGAAGAAAATAAAGCCGAGAGGGAACCTGGTAGCAGATTACCACTACATCAGGGGAGTACATCAAGGGCTCAGTGAACAACTGTTCACCAGGGAACTCAAGGGGAAAACCAGGAGTAATGGCCACAAACTCCTGGAAGGCCAATTCAGGCTCAACATTAGGAAAAACTTCTTCACAGTCAGGGTGTCCAGACTGTGGAAGAAGCTCCCTCCAGATGTGGTGCAATCACCTACCCTGGAAATCCTCAAAAGGAGACTGGACGGTCTCCTCGCTGGGGTCACCTCACCCCAGTTACCTTTCCTGCCTGGTGCAGGGGGCTGGACCCGATGTTCTTTCAAGGTCCCTTCTGGTCTTACAGTCTATGAATCTATTAATCTATGAATATATGATGCACAGCGGGAACTGCCCTGGGCTTAGGTGGGAGATAGACTCCATTTGCTGGCTGAGGCCAGCAGCTATGGATGCGGAGCTGGAAAAAACTGGGCTGTTTCTATCCCTGTTCTTTGTCTGCCCCTCTGTTCCCGAGAGAGCTGCTGGCGCTGGATGGGAGCAGTGAGGTGATGGCGGGGAGAAGAAAGAAGTCCTATGCAGGTGACTTGTCATGGAATGGGATGGAGGTTGGCAGCCAGGGCTCCAGGGTTGTAGCCCGCTCTCTGCAGAGGAGTGGGGTCTGGGATATACAGGGGGAAGGGGGAACTGGGGAGCTTGTGGTATTTCTCCATGAGCCCCCCAGTTGCTTAGATGCTGAGACCAAGGCAAAGCATCGTGTCCATTGTCTCTGTGGCCTCCAGGCTATATCACCCACTCCACCCAGTTTCATTGTGGGTAAGTGTGACAGCCCCTCCTCTCTCTTCATGATCTTTGGGCCTTGCTTCTGCTATACAGGCCTCCCCCAAGGTCCACGGCAGTGTTTCACCCTCCTGTGAGTCGAGCAGAGCTCTGGGGCCAGTGCGAACTAGTGGCAAGGGGTTCTGCAGCCCAAATCCAGCTGGGGAAGCAGGGGTTGATCTACCATTTCCTAGCATCAGATAAATGCACTCCCCCAGCCTGGGATCCAAGGGGTGCAGCTGCATCCCGATTTGACTCCTGCTCCGCCAGAACTACAAACCAACTGCCCTGGAGAGGCACAGCATTTCTATCTGGGCAGCTCTGAGAGAGGCAATTGACTTCACAGCTCATGATAAGGTATCTGATTCCTGCTAATTTCTTCCCTCCACAGGTGTTAACCACCTTCTCTCCTCTTTCAAGCCATTGATTATGTTCTTGTTGTTCCACTACTCAAACCATCTTCTCTTCTGCAATGTTGCTGTCTGTCAGCCCTTGCTGGGAATATGTCTTTCCTATCTCTCAGCCCTGCTGACACTTTGCAGCTCTAGCTACAAACTTCTTCACTCCACTGTGGTCACATGAACTCAGGTGTAGACATGACTGGCAGTGGAGTATTGGATGCTCCAGAAGGCGAGATTTTGTTTTATTCCCCTGTATGAGAGAAGCACATTTAATAACCATAATGGCTACAGGACTAATGATGCTTTTGACCATTTTTTCCCCTTCCCAGTACAGTTGCTGGGCTCCATCCCAGTGCTCCCTGCCCCACCCATTGGCTGCTCCCCTAGGTCCTGACTCACTGCAGCCCATTGCTGCTGCCAGGGGCCACCACCCAGCCCCCAGAGCAAGCACCAGGGCCACGGTCCCCACTGCAGGGTGTTGCCCATATTCATAGACTCATTCTAATATAATAAAAAGCTTAGTCCATTTGGCTGTGCATCTGTCTGTCTGTAACGCATGTGTACAACTGCACATGCACCGCTGAGAGGGCCAGGAGTGATTGGCTGCATGGGCTCCACCTCCTCAGGCAGGGAGGTGGAGATGGAGGCGGGCAGGGAGGAGGGAGCCGCCCCCTCTGCCTCTGGCAGGGAATCAGAGATGGAGATGGGCTGGGGGGGAGCTGCTGCCACCACCGCAGGCAGGGCGGCAGAGGTGGGCAGGGGAGAAGGAGCCACCGCTTCTGCCTCCACCTCAGGCAGGGAGGTGGGGAGGAGGCGGAGGCAGGCAGGAGGGAGGGAGGGAGGGAGGGAGCTCCCACCGTTGCTGCTGCCTAAGGCAGGGAGGCGGAGGCGAGTGGGAAGAGGAGATGCCACTGCCGCTGTCCCAGGCAGGGAGGCAGAGGAGGCCAAAGGAATGGGAGCCATCACCATCACCACCACCACTGCTGCCACTGCTGCCACCTGAGGCAGGGAGGCAGAGGCAGAAGTGGGCAGCACGGA